ACAGGGCATAGGGTTACAGCCTGTGTTGGATGGGGCCGCACTCCCCCTGAAGATGCAGGTTCGCAGCTTGGGTGTGACCCCGGACTCATCGCTGAGCCTGGAACCCCAGGTTTCGGCGGTGACCAGGGGAGCATTTGCACAGCTAAAGCTTGTGCGCCAGCTGCGCCCGTACCTTGGGAAGTCTGACTTGGCCATGGTAGTCCACGCTCTGGTTACATCCCGTTTAGACTACTGCAACGCTCTCTACGTGGGGTTGCCTTTGAAGACAGCTCGGAAGCTCCAACTAGTCCAACGCTCGGCAGCCATGATTTTAACAGGAGCGGAGCGCAGGGAGCATACAACCCCCCTGTTGCGCCAACTCCACTGGCTACCGATCTGTTACCGGGCTGAATTCAAAGTGCTGGCGTTGGCCTTTAAAGCCCTAAACGGTTCCGGCCCAAGCTACCTATCCGACCGCATCTCTGCCTATGAACCCACCAGGACTTTGAGATCTTCCGGGGAGACCCTGCTCTCGATCCCGCCTGCTTCTCAAGCTCGGCTGGCGGGGACGAGAGATAGGGCCTTCTCGGTGGTGGCCCCTCGGCTGTGGAACGCCCTTCCTACGGACATTAGACTAGCACCATCTCTAATGGTATTCCGCAAAAAAGTGAAGACCTGGCTGTTTGAGCAGGCGTTCGAATAATTAGTGCAATGATTGGTTAATGAACACTGGAATGAACAATGGATGACGAATCGGGATCATGTTTTTGATGATGAGACGACAGTGAATGGCTATTGTAGTAATTGTTTACTAATTGTGTAATGTGTAGGTTGTTAATTGCTTTTATACTGTAGCATTGAATTCTTGCTCTTTTTTATTTGTTGTGAACCGCTGTGAGTCGCCTTCGGGCTGAGAACAGCGGTATATAAGTAAGGTAAATAAATAAATAAAAATTTTCCAAATCCAATTCTCACATGGACAGAAAGTGAGGTGAAATCTTCTAAACAGGGGCACAGACAGAAAAACAAGCAGCACAGGCATGTTAAGCCTTCCCTATGCTATCAAAAGCTAATATAATAACAATAATTTTATTTCTTACCTGCCTCTGCTCATAGTTCAAGGCAGGTCAAAAATACACAAATACCTGTTCCAACTTACAAACAAATGCAACTTAAGAACAAACCTACAAAACTTCATACCTTGGGGACTGCCTGTATTCATACAAACATTTCACACTGTTTGGCTTTATTTGTTTCTCTCTTCATCAAGGGATGAATTGATTTCATCCTCATTTGGTCTACTTCACATGCACATCCCACTTTCCGTCACATGTTTCAGATTACAAAGCAAGAATGTACTCTCAGAATTTCTTAAGAACACATACCTGTATTATCCTAAACATTCTGATTAATATTCTTGTTCAAAATGGTATCTTTCTAGATCAGGCCAAGGCCCTGTATTCTATGCAAGCATCTTATTGTGAGCTGGCAGGACATCTTTATTTGCCTCCCCCCAAACAGTGCCATAAATCTGTGTAACAGAGCTATACTGGCGAAAGTCCCCAAAAAGCTCCAACCAATATAACTGAGTCACTCAATTTTAATCTGATAGCCTATTTGTTTTGGTTCAGCTACTCATCTTATCTTAAGACAGTTCACATAACTTGCTTGCTTATTTAAATCAGCCAGAATCAGGAAAAGAATAATCTAATCATTCATATTTAAATCACTCAAGATGGATGTAAACATTTACAAATGCAATCTTTTTGAGGGTCAAGTATGACTAACTGCTTAATTAAATAGACTTTTTCCTTACCCTTTGCCATACAGAGGCAGTAAAATAGCAACAGCTTTACAGCTCCGAAGTTTCACATCCCGATTACAAGCAGGAAGGAAATAGTAACAGGCAAAATTCATTATACCCTATGCTGGCCTGTCAGGCCAGCACAGAATAAGAAATATTACCCATCCTTGCCAGGACCTAACATTTTTACTATAGCAAAGCAGCATATTAAAGACTAAATGTATCCAGCAAAGTATCCCCACAAAAAACTATAGCAGTGAGAGCATTAGCAGTAGGTATACCAAACTTTCATAATATTAAGAAGGTGGTGCTGGTTTACCCAATCTGATGATTTTATCTGTACACTAGTGAGAATCCTACATTTTGCAATACTGCCACACCATAGCAACCAGGAAAATATTGCATCTTCTACTTATCATAGAGATGCAACTGATAATTTATAAAGATGCCAACAAAGTCTTTTATGAGCCTGTTATAAGCAAGTTAATGGCCTCGCTGAGAGGTCACATTCTGCAACTGGGCCTAGCATGGAGGAATTTCTTATCCCATTCCTAGTAGATTTTCAGTGGCAACTACACCACACCCTCCTATTGGTGTGGCATTAAATACAAGGCTATGTTGACCTACCAGAAGACTAAACTGAATACAACTCACCTTGCCATGGTCTGTTTAATGGGCATTGGTGTCACCAAGCCTCTTTATACTCAATGAGGAGTCATATTAGAACTGAGCCCTAATTCACCAAAGACAAATTTAAATTGCTGCTATATCCACAGATACACAACAAAGCAATGAGAGGAAACTAAACTGCATGTGTGGAAAGGCTTGTGGAATGATAGCCCGCCTTATATATGAATATGAAAGACTATGTGACAAAAATTGTCTCCATTTATTTATTTATTTATTTATTTGAGGCTTTTATATCCTGTCTTATCTCAACCTCCGCAGAGGGACTCAGGACGGCTAACAAATCAGCACCCCATAGCACCCACATCAAAGTGCTATATCACCATTCATTTTTCTAAGCTGTGGTTAAAACAATCAAGAGATCTGCATTTTTGATGGATAACACAGGTTTACTCACAAACTGAAAATGTTATTTTTTAGAGTTCAGTTTCCAAATTCACAATCAGCATTCTGAGAGATGTAGTCCCAAAGCAGCATTTGTTCTCAAGCTCTGGTTTTGTCTATACATGATTGGTGGTAATCTATATTCAAAGTGAATACCTGTAATAATATAGGTGGGTCTTCCAGATATAACTGCATGGACTTGTTTGGAAGTTAATTCCCAGGAACTCTATGGGCGCTCCTCATGAGCAAGAGGATTCAGATGACAGAGTTAAGTGACTGCCATAGTCTCTAAGAAAGCACAACATTAAGGCAAAACCGCATACACTCTCCTATAAACAATGAAATCAATAGATATCTATTGTCACACTAAATGTTATCTAGATTCATGTAGAAGGTGGTGACGGTAGCAATGTTTGATAAGACAAACATATAACCAATAACTGGTTTATCAAGAAAAGCTGCTACTTTTCACCCTTCTAAGAAAAACCCAGACCTACATAGGTACATGAACAGATCCTGAGTATGGTCTGTTATGTATTTCATTTCACAACCTAGATTGTATGAAGCATATGGGGTGTCCTGGGTTCTTCCAAAGATAAACAAGCTCAGAAACTCATCAGCCAGTCAAGGGAGAATTGAGTAAGGCAAAACAGCATATTAAGTATTTAGACTCACTGGGATGAGGAAGGAAGCGGTTTTATGGGGAAGGCCACACCCACAAAATCAAGCTCAAGAAAGCTGCAAAGAAAATAATTAAGAGTTCCAGACCCTGCCTCCCCAAATTGGTGCCGTTTCAGAAAGAGAATGAGCTCTGCCAAAGATAGGAGAAGCATTGGCCTACCATTCTGCAAAGTTGCTCAATCCAGAATTGTGACAGGACAACATATTATGTATAGTGGCACTCTTCACCCAAGGCCTCAGGCACTTCATTAATGCTTAGTTTATACAGACTCCAATCTAGGAAGCTCTTATGTTGCAATGGCCTTAACTATTTGATAGTTAATGTGTATTCTGGGTTATGGGGTTTGGTGAACTTCTCTACCAGAGAGAGCTCTAGCACTGGAGTTTCTGTTAAAGCATGCCTGCAGCTGTTAGGAATTATAGTTTCTGTCTCAAACACCCAGAAGGCCAAAGTTTACCTATGACGGCCCTAGTCTGTGCTGGTGATCTGTATAAATGATGAATAAATGCCATAATATGGGTGGGCTTTTAAGATGATGGATACCACTGCATGAACCTGTTTGGAAGAGAACCTCCAGGAGTTCACTTGAGGCTCCTCTTCACAACCGGATGTCAGGGAGAAGTGGCTGCCCTAATCCCTAAGGAAGAACAAGATTAATTCGCAACACAACACCATTCTGTGAAGTAAAGAAATACCCCATTGATTGGGAATGGCAGGAAAGGTGCCAAGAACAAATAAACCCTGCGGGGGGTGATGTGTTGTTGAAGGCTTTCATGGCCGGAATCACTGGGTTGCTGTGAGTTTTCTGGGCTGTATGGCCATGTTCCAGAAGCATACTCTCCTAATGTTTCACCACCATCTATGGCAGGCATCCTCAGAGGTTGTAAGGTCTGTTGGAAACTAGGCGAGGTTTATATATCTGTAGATTCTAGACAAGAATCAATTGGGGCCAGCTAATCACCTCCAAACAACGGACCCCCCCCCCCAGACAGCAATCAGACAGATTTTGAAGCTCCAAGGCCATTAAATACTAAACAAGGTGGCCAATTGCAACATTCACACTTGCCTCAAGCAGACAAAAGTTCTTTCTATCACCCTGGATATTCCACAGATATATAAACCCCACTTGCCTAGTTTCCAACAGACCTCTCAACCTCTGAGAATGCCTGTCATAGATGTGGGTGAAACGTCAGGAGAGAATGCTTCTGGAACATGGCCATAGGGCCTGGAAAACTCACAGCCACTTGCTGTGGGCAGTTCTACATTAAATTAATGTAACTGTGTCACCCCTTAAACTGCCCTGGCTCAATCAAGCTCTGGGGTCATGGGAACTGTAGTTGAGGCCCTGTATTGATGGTGAATAAACGTCCTAGTGGAGTGGCACCAAAGAGAGAATGGGGAGGGCTTGGGGTCCCTCGTGAGGCCTCTGTGGGGAGAGGAAGGAAGGGAAGGGGAGCGTCTCACCGCGATGACGTTGACGAAGGTGGTCTTCCCGGAGTACTGCAGCCCCACCAGCGTCAGCTCCATCTCCTCCTTCCAGAACAGCGACCGGAACCAGTCCAGCAGCCGAGACAACAACGCCAGCATGATGGTGCGAGTAGTAGCAGCAGTAGCAGCAGCCCAGTCGCGACTCTAGGCCTCCTGTCCCTCGCCGGACTCCGTCACTCCCGCCTTGGCCGCGAACACACCAGCTACTCCCTCTCGCTCGCTTCCCCGCCTGGCGGGTCATATGACGCCTCCGAGGGCCAGAGCGGCCACGTCCCACCGGAAGCTCCGCGCGCAGAGCGGCCTCTGGCGGCGAGTAGGTGCACTGCAGGCGGGGAGGACCCAGCGTCCTATGGCTTTCTCTACTATTAAAAGGCACAGCAGGGCAGCAGGTCGAGTCCTGGCAGTTCCATGGACCGAAGGATGGCCTTGTGACGTCACGGGGGGCGGGGCTTCCTGGTTCCATTGAGTTTAATGCAATCAGGGTTGTCAATGGGGAAGCAAGGAAAGGAGAAACACAGAGTCAGTGCTAGATTATTATTATTTATTTATATTATATTTATATATTTATATCATTTTTTAATATTTTTATAAATGTAATTATTTATTTTTATAAATGTAATATAAAGTACGGGCCCCTGGTAGCGAAGCATATTAAACCGCTGAGCTGCTGAACTTGCTGACCAAAAGGTTGGTGGTTCAAATCCAGGGAGCAGGGTGAGCTCCCACTGTTAGCCCAGGTTCTGCCAACCTAGCAGTTTAAAAACATGCAGATGTGAGAGAATCAATGGGTATCGCTTCTGCCAGAAGGTAATGGCACTCTATGCATTCGTGCTGGCCACATGGCCTTGGAGGTGTCTGTTGACAACGCTGGCTCTTCGGCTTAGAGATAATAGTAATAATTATTTATTTATATTTCGCCCTTCTCACCCCGAAGGGGACTCAGGGTGGATCACAAGTACACATACATGGCAAACATTCAATGCCGTTTGTATAGACAGTACACAGTACATAGTACATAGACTGTTTGTATAGACAGTACATAGTACATAGACGATGAGCACCACTCCCCAGAGCTGGATATGACAGCAAAGCACTCCAGCAAAAAAGCATGCGGGGAATGCGGAAGTACTTCATCAGTGTCACAGATGGACGATGAGAGCGACAGCTCCCCTGGCGGCCAGAAAAAGTTAAATAGCCTCTGTGTATGTCTGTATATGTTGTATGTCAAAATTGGCATTGAATGTTTTCCATATATGTGTACACTGTAATCCGCCCTGAGTCCCCTGCGGGGTGAGAAGGGCGGAATATAAATACTGCAAATAATAATAAATAAATAATAATGACTATACTTAATGTCAAAGGGGGGGGGGGAGCTTTGCTTTTATTGTGTCGCTGAATTTAGTACCAGGAAAGGATGGGACAGTGCGGAGTAGTGATAGGATAAAGAAAATTCAGAAGCAAGTACCAATAGGTACCGTTTCCGCGGGAAGATAATGGCGCTCCATGCAGTCATACTGGCCACATGAGCTTGGAGGTGTCTACAGACAATGCAGGTGAGGAGATATAGTTTTAAAAGGGAATTTTCAGGGATGCTTTCAATGAATGAAAGTCCAATGTGTCCTGATTAGCAGAAGCCTTTGTTTGCAGAGAACGCCGACGATTTGGGAAAACGTTGCTGCAGAGAGGAAGTTACTTTTCAAGGATAAAAGTACATCAGGACAGACCTGGTTAGCTTGTACTCCCTTAATTTCCCAGCCTCTTGAAGTATCGACCTATAGATACTTTCCAACTGAGTGTTCATGGCCAGAGGACAATACACTATAGTTGTTCCATTGTTAAGATCCCGCGTGTTCTTTCCTGCCTGTTAGAATTATGGAGAGCCAATGAACATCTGTATAGCCAGTTTAGACCAATGAGATAATTGATTGCTGTATCCCAATGAAAATGTGTCTTTAATTCTCTGTCAAAGTGATAAAAGCCTTGCAACCCCCTGGTGGTGCAGTGGGTTAAAGCACTGAGCTGTTAAACTTGTTGACCGTGGGGTCGCAGGTTCAAATTCGGTGAGCGGTATGAATTCCCGCTGTCAGCACCAACTTCTGCCAACCTAGCAGTTTGAAAACATGCAAATGTGAGTAGATCAATAGGTCCTGCTTCTGCGGGAAAGTAACGGCGCTTCTTGCAGTCATGCTGGCCACATGACCTTGGAGGTGTCTACAGACAACACTGGCTATTTGACTTAGAAATGGATATGATGAATGTGAAGATCCCTTACCTTGCCAGCCAGGGTGGCAGGGCCCAGGAAGAGACAGGCTAGGTAGTTTCAGCTTAGAAGGCCTGGCAGAGAGCTGCTGGAGCCATCTTAGTTTAGGGAAAAGCTCCAGTTCAGAAGGGGGAGTGGCCTAGGCCTGAGCCAGCCCAGTAACAGCCAGGATTGGTTTGGAAAAGAGGGGCGGAGTTAGCCAGATGGAGGGAAAGAGAACAGATAGTTTTGAGAGTTCAGTTGAGTTCTGAGTAGAGTAGAGAGCAGTTCAGTTCTGAGAGAGGTTAGAGCAGGATTTGGGAGTTTTAGGAGACTCTGTTAAGAATAGGCAGCTTGCCTGGAGTTTGCACAGCACAGTAGGCTGTGGCAGACTGAGTTACAGCTATTTTAGGAAAGAAAATAGCTGGGTTTTTGTGTTTAAGAAATTGTAACAAAGGAAAGAACCATTCTCTTAAGTAACCATTACGCCTCTAAGAAACAAGAACACTTTTATTAGTAACCGCCAAGCCTCTGAACCTGCATTCACTTGTTATTCTGTAATTTGTAATCAATAAACTCTTTCTTGTTATTTTTAAAATTGAAGCCTGAGTCAAGTGCCATTTTTGGTTGGAGTCATTTTTCTTATTGAATCAACCTCTCCTGTTCCCCCCTCCAAAGAAAGCCCTTGTTAATACACAGTATTTGGTGGAGTAAAAAAAAAAGCCTTTTATTAATTTAAACAGCCTTTTAACGTTCTAAATTGCTAGAGGGTTCGTGATTTCTTTAGTTTATGGTGGCAGCGAAGGTTTTACATAACGAGACCTCCCCTCAAACACTATAAGAACCCAAGTGGTGTGAATTCCTTATTGAAGGAGGGACAGTGGTGGGATTCTTTGACCCCCCCTGTCTTGTTAAGCCTCTCCGAAGACCTTATAATTGGTGGCAGCGGTGGGATTCTTTGCCCCCCTGCCTTGATAAGCCTTTTGAGTTATTATAATCACCACCCCCAGAGTTGGACATGACTGGACTTAATGTCAGGGGAAAACCTTTACCTTTATCTAACCCCATTTCAGGTTGTGACAGAACCTTTGTGGAGGGGGCACTATTGTCACCTTATTGCTTTGGCCTGCAAGAAAAGCCTTTGTAGAAAGAATCCAACTTACGGCCTCTTCGTTGCACCGCTGCCCAGGCCTTAGGAGACTCCTAAGCTGGTCCAGAGTTTGCCTGGAGTACACCAGCTTTTCAGCTTAGAAATGGAGATGAGATAATTGATTGCTGTATACCAATGAGAATGTAGTATAATAGACATTAAGTCTAATCGGACACGACTAGACTTAATGTCAAGAGGAAACCTTTACATTTTTAATATATTTATAATTTCGCATTTATTTTTTAATATTTATATATTATATGTTTATAATTTAGTCAATATACAATATAAAATAAATATATTATATTAAATATTATATTTATATTATATTTAATTATATCATTTTCATTTATTTTTTATATTTATATATTATATGTTTGTAGTTTGATAAATGTATAATATAAAATAAATATATTTATATTAAATATTATATTATTTATTAATTTATATCCCCCATCGGGGATTTAAAGAGCTTAACAACAAGGTATATATAAAGCATACAGGTCCAGTAGGACAAAAAAGGAAATAATCATAGCCAATAATGAAAATATAAGACAATTAAACCATAATAAAATACATTACAGATTAAAATACGATCGGCACTTTTTTTCGTGTCGTTAAAAATTAAACATAAACCAAAGCCAAAATCTGGCAGGGAGAACACCAGGGTCTTTCTGAGAGGTGTATTTTTTGTTTATAAAGTAACTTTACCATTCTGTTGCAGGCCTGCACAATTTGTCAGCAGAAAGGAGCCAGAATGAAATAGGTCTAAACTTCTTGGGGCCGCAAATAGGTTTTTACCACCTCACATCTCAGGTAACATATAATTAATGATTAATTGAGTTTGTTGTCAAGTCATTTCAGACTGAAGGCAGCCCTCTCACCTTCAGTCTGAAATGTTTCTCATCAAGATTTATTCAAAGGTGATTTTCTCTTGAGGGCTAAAGACACCCAGGGGTTAGGAAGGAAAGAAGGAAGGGGAAAAAAGAGAGGGAAGAAGGGAGATAGGTGATATCTCCTGTCTGTAGATAGGTGATATCACTACATTTCATGAGAGCGTAACAACATTCCTTAACTGATCAACATGATGATCAGTTAAAGTTGTGTGTGCCTTCAAGTCACCTGTTATGGCAATCCCCATTAATTTCGTAGGGTTTTCTTAGGCATCGAATACTGAAAGGTGATTTCATCAGTTCCTTCCTACTGCATCTCACTGGTGTGGAATGCTTCACCTGATGATTGATTACTCACTATGTCAACACGATTTTCATTCCTGGGTTATAAATATCATTTCCTAATTTGTTCTATCATTAAAAAAACATGAACAAAGTTTATTAAACTGTAAAAACTTTGTTTTCATGGGAAATACTGCAGCACATTTTGCTATAGGTTTTCAATTACTATCTCGTAGAGTCTCAACCAATTCAACATAATTTGTGTCAGCCACAAAAACAAAGTTTCTGAAGTATAAAAACTACTTTGAAAGTACAATTAAACAGGAAATAACACTTTCAAACCAGAAAGAGATTTTTTTTTCAATTCTTGTTATATAGTGTTATATTACACCCTTCCAAAATATAGGCTGAGTATCTGGGTTCTATAGAAGATAGAGATTTATTACAATACAAAAATGATGCCAACTAAGTTGATCGGTTGCTGAAGGGTGCGCCATCACATAGGTAAATCCATGAATTCAAATGGTCTACGGCAGTAAGAACTACCAATAGGATTTAGGTA